CTTTCCTTTATCCCTTGTTTTCTTTTTTCTCTCTCTCTCTTTCTTTCTTTCTTTCTTTCTTTTTCTTCTTCTTCTTCTTCTTCTTCTTCTTCTTCTTCTTCTTCTTCCTTCTTCTTCTTCTTCTTCTTCTTCTTCTTCTTCTTCTTCTTCTTCTTCTTCTTCTTCTTCTTCTTCTTCTTCTTCTTCTTCTTCTTCTTCTTCTTCTTCTTCTTCTTCTTCTTTCTTTTTAAAGATGGGGTTTCACCATATTGGTCAGGCTGGTCTTGAACTCCCGACCTCAGGTGATCTGCCCACGTGAGCCACCATGTTTGGCCCTCTTTCTTTCTTCTTTCTTCTCCCCTCCCCTCCCCTCCCCTCCCCTCCCCTCCCCTCCCTTCCCCTCCCTTCCACTCCCCTTCCCTCTCCCCTTCCCCTCTCCTCCCTTCCCCTCCCCCTTTCCCCTCCCCTCCCCTCCCCTCCCCTCCCTTTTCCTCTCTTCCCTGCCCCTCCCCTCCCCTCCCCTTCTCTTCCCTTCCCTTCCTTTCATTTCGTTCTTTTTCTTTTCTTTTTTTTTTTTTTTGCTGGAGTTTCTCTCTTTTTTGCCCAGGCTGGAATGCAACGGTGCAATCTTGGCTCACTGCAACCTCCCCCTCCCAAGTTCAAGCACTTCTCCTGCCTCAGCCTCCCAAGTAGCTGGGATTACAGGCACACAGCACCACATCCAGCTAATTTTGTATTTTCAGTAGAGACAGTGTTTCACCATGTTGACCAGACTGGTCTCAAACTCCTGACCTCAGGCGATCCACCTGCCTTAGCCTCCCAACGTACTGGGATTACAGGCATGAGCCACCATGCTCGGCCTTCTTTTCCTTTTTCTTTCTTTCTTTCTTTCTTTCTTTTTTTTTTTTTTTTTTTTTTTTTTTTTGGTTTACCTTAATTGACCATGGAGTTGAATAACAATATATACCAGAGCTTTTTGCCAAGCACATTTCTGGGCCATATGTAAAAATTATATTCTGACCTCACAATAGCTCTGAAAAACGTTTTTGTTCCTATTTTACAGAGAAAGAAATGGAGGCTCATAAAGTGTAAGTAGTTGTGTTTCATAATCTTAAAAGTTTTCTCTGCTTAATTTTCAAAATTAGTAAATTAAATGCTTTGTTTCCTTTATCTAAGAAAAATGCAGTTTAGGCCAGGTGTAGTGGCTCACACCTGTAATCTTAGCACTTTGGGAGGCTGAGGCGGGTAGATCACTTGAGGTCAGGAGTTAAGAGGCCAGCCGGACCAACATGGTGAAACCCTGTCTCTACTAAAAATACAAAATTAGCCAGGTGTGGTGGTGTGCACCTGTAGTCCCAGTTACTTGGGAGGCTGAGGCAGGAGAATTGCTTGAACCTGGGAGACAGAGGTTGCAGTGAACCAAGATCAGGCCACTGCATTCCAGCCAGGGCAACAGAGTGAGATACTGTCTCAAAAAAAAAAAAAAAAAAAAAAAAAAAGATCCTTTGACCCTTTGAACAATAAAGCTCCCACTGCTCTTTGCCCCTCCTCATCCTTCTTCCTGAGAGTAGGGCTTGACCCTGATTCCTCTGACACAATCTTAACCTTTTTTTTTTTTTTTTAATCAGAGTCTTGCTCTGTCACTCAGGCTAGAGTGCAGTGGTACAATCTCAGCTCACCACAACCTTGACTTCCCGGCTTCAAATGATTCTCCTGCTTCAGCCTCCCGAGTAGCTGGGATTATTTTTTGTATTTTTAGTAGAGATGGGGTTTCACTGTGTTAGCCAGGATGGTCTTGATCTCCTGCCCTCGTGATCCTCCTACCTCGGCCTCCTAAAGCTGGGATTACAGGTGTGAGCCACCACACCCATTCACAATCTTAAACTTCTTTATGGAGGAGGTAATCTTTTATGTCCAGTCAGGCTTAATGTACTTTCTGTATCTGTGCAAAAGGAAGAGGTCAAATCTCAGCACCTAGATTTGTAACTTACAGTAACTTGGAGACAGAGGTTGTGGCAACATTGGGTCTGCTCCCTGGAAGATCACTTTTTATTATTTTGAGTGTTTAGTGAAGCTGCTCAGCCTTAACAGGTGTCCTCCCCGTGATCCTGGAGGAGAGTGAGGTAGAAGTAGAGAGAAGTATCCCTTCCAGCCTGCTTCAGTAGAGGTCTGAGACAAGCAAAAGAGGAAATAAGATGTGTCTGGGTGGGTTCCAGGCTCCTTTACTCTTCTATAAGGGAGTGAAGGCTGCTTATCTCCTGGAGACATGAATTACAGGATTTGTGTTATAGGCTGAAGGAGTAGATGCAACCGCTGTATTTTCTTAAAGGAAGCATAAAACATTTAATTTACTAATGTTGAAAATTAAACAGAGTAAACCTTTAAGATTATACAACACGACTACTTACTTTTTATGATCCTGCCAAGGATCAGAGCATAGCAGCAGAGAAGTCCCAGGTCCAAGTGAGTGTTCAGACTCCGTTGGGTTCAGCACCATGGACAGAAAGCAACCCAAAGCTGTCCCGAGGGCTGAGGGTTTAATGCCACAGACAGATACCCCTCTCTGTCCCCGCCCACAATCTCACCAATCCCCATTGCTATTCCAGGGAGGAACCTAAACCCGGCCATTAGTTAACTGGCTCCCATCACTTAAAGGTCGAGATAAGCAGTGGATTGGTTTCCTTCTGAGGCCCTCCTGAATTTCTTCACTGAGCTGTCTGTTCTGCAGCTTCCTGGTAGAGCGGGGTTCGCCTTAGAGCAACTCTTATTAAGATCCAGCTGATTTGCATATATTTGCATTCACTGGGGCTTCTCCGTTCTGGTTTTATTATAAATGAATTGCTCAGAGGAAAAGGAGGGATTATTTCACTCCTTCCTCTTCTTTCCCCCTATTCCTAGGGTCTCCATCTGGAAATTTCCCCCAGATGCCTGAAGGTGTGTGTGGCGGAAGAGGGTGGAAACCAGACTCCAACAGTCAGGTGTTTGCCAGAGCATCCTATGTAGATTTCCCCAGATAATTTCCCCCATCTGTTTGGTTTCTGAAAGATCCTTGTCAGGTTCAGAGGAAGTCTGTATTTTGTTTTAGCCCCTGGGGTCTGAACCTCTGGTCTGAAGTCCCTGGAGCTTCAGGAAGAAGCCATGATTGGTGCCTTAGAGCCTGCTAAGGGGATGGAACCCGGTTTTAAAGAGGAGTGAGGGGTGGTGTAGTGAGGACTCATTTTGAAATGAAAGGAGTCCTGGGTCTCTAAGCAGCTTCTAAAAATACCATCTCCCAGAGCTGGTGGGAGGGGGAGGGGAAAAATCGAGCGTGAGGAGAATGAAGATGGAATGGAGGTGGCAGTGTGAGAACACTTCCTCAGGTAGGTCTGGTTTTAGAGGTCCTGCCTGATTCTAAGGACTGGAGATTTGCCACACTTCCTTCTGCTTCCTCAGCGGGCTTATCTCCTGCGGTGTCCAAGACACACAGCCTTTGCTAATGACCTTTCTTTCTGCAGGTAAAAAAAACCAATTCCCCCCACCTACTCCTCCTATTGCTGCTGTCCAGCAAATATGTCTGAGTGAGCAAATGTGCATTTACTCACACACACATGCACACACACAGAAATGGCACATGAAAACGGCTTGTAAATGGCCAGTGATCTACGACGCCAGGAATCCTCCTTACCCTCGGCATTCAAAGAGGTATGGACTGTGGCAGAGGCAGCGTGGTTCACCAGGGCATCCGCAGCACAGAGCATGGCGCCCAGGAACGGCTGGGTGGAGGGGCAAGGGATACATATGCGCAAAACGCACAGACACTCAGACCGCAGGGGCCAAGTAAGTCATAGGACTCACACTCACTCCCAGGGCTTCTCAGGCTATATTTGCTTCCAAACAGAGAGGGGATGAGTCCCCCAAGAAAAGAGCTCAGAAAAAGCCACGAGGTGGGTGGAGCTTTCTCCCCTCAAGTTCAGCCCAGATGGTGGCGCTCAGTAGCCGCCTCCCTCGTCCTGGTGGGCCCCAGCCCTTCCCACCACCAAAGTGTTAAACCCTCAGCTTGCACATAAATGACCTTCACTAGACAGAGGTCGTGTTCCATGTGTTCTTGCGGCTTCTTCAACGCCGGCTGAACTCTGCCAGTTTTGCTCCGCCTCTCTCGCAGATGTCTCGGATTCCTGGCCGCGGTGCTGTTCACCAGTCCCTTGGGGTGGGCGGAGTGGGGTGACCGGAGGGGAACCCCGACTCTGACCAGACTGAGGACAGGGGTGGCTGTGAGGTGCGCTGCGCTGCTTGTGTCTTGACAGCAGAAGCAAGAACCTGAGGAACTGATCGTTCTTGCAAAACCACCACCGCCCCCATCCTGGCGTCCACATGGTTTCCGAGACTGGGAACCGCGCTGGTAGGGCAAGACCCCGTCCCTCACTTTGCTCTCCTTTCCCGAACAGCTCCGAGGTCGGGTTCGGCCCCTCCTTCCTGCCGCTGTGTGTGTGTGTGTGTGTGTGTGTGTGTGTGTGTGTGTGTGTGTGATGAGGGCGGGAAGAGAAAGGGGAGGGATGAGCCAGGAGACACCAGGAGCCTCAGACACGGGAACAGACCTAGGGCAGGGAGATAGGAGAGCTCCCCAGAGCTTGGGGTCAGGGCATAAGCCTTCAAAACCCCCGCAAGTCCTGGGAACAAGGGAGCTTCCAGACAAGCTCAGAGGCTGCAAGTGCCGCCTCCTCCCCTAGAGTCGCCCCTCCTTAAGCCAAACCCACGTTGCCTACTTCTCAGGAATGAGGAGCTAAGGTTTAGCGCTCTGGGCCACCGACGCCAGCTCATCCCCCTCGCGCAGCAGCCCCGTCAGCTCCCAGAGCTACCCCCCCAACCCCGGTTTGGGGATCTGCGGGACCCCTTCCTTTCCCCACCAGTTGGGTGTTCCACCCCTGGCCTATGAAACTCCACCTACCTACCCTCTGCTGGCGAGGATTGGTGGGCATCCCGCGGCGGTGCCTAGTGATTGGTCCCCATGGATGATGGTGAGCGGCGAGACCCCGCCCCCAGCTGGCGCTGGGGTCTGGGGGCACTGCTTAGCGGTGCTAGGCTGGCGCGGCTTGAGCCGCCGCCGCACTGACAGCTCGGTCTGCGGACCATGGAGACCGGCGCCGGTGCACACCCGCTGCTCCTGTTCCTCTGCCGGATGCCGCTCTGTCTCGCGGTGCTTTTGGGACCCTGGCGGCCTGGGACCGCCGAGGAAGGTGAGAAGACTGGTGGGCTCTGCTCGGAGCCTGGCATGCCAAAAGATAGGGGGGCTGGGGACGGGGATTTTGGGGGAAGGAGTCATTGGAGAGACTAGGGTCTGTATTGGGGCTAGAAGCAAGCAGGCAGCAAAGAACTGGAGAGGCAGAAAAATGTGGCCAAGCAGTAGCGAAGAGAGGGGCGTTGAGGAGCTTGGGGGCTGTAGACCCGGGAGGCAGGGGAAGAAAGAGACCAGAAACCGCGGGAGCCAGAGGCGGCAGTCCAGGGGCGGGCGAGATGGACAAGCTGAGTGATTGGAGGTGGGAGGTGTGGGGGCGGGGAGATAAAGAGAGTAGAGACAGAGAGATGCGAAGATGAGCTCGGAGTATGGGGAAACGGGATGGAGCCCGGACCACAGTGGCTAGGAGACCACAGCGTGGCCAACCTGATGCTGAAGGCTGGTCGAGGGGGCTGGGCCCGGGCGCTGCCCGATGTGCTGATCGTGGAACTGTCCGCAGTGCTGAATTCTGAGCGTAGTCTACCAGGCGCGCTCCGCGTTGCTGGCTTTGAGGCTGTCGGCGATACTAGAGCCCGCGTCTTGCCTCTGATTCTGCATTTGGGGAAGCTACACGCTCAGTTGAATCCAGAGCCGTCATATCTAGGTGCAGAATCCGGAGAAGCTGGAATCTGAGGCGCTGACCGCGGGGTTGGTCGGGGCCCTGGGTGGCTGACGCCTTCCAGTATGCAATTCCGATGTGCCCTCAGTTGCGCGGATCTCGGAAAATCGTCGGCTGTCCTGCCCACGGTCGCTGACACCTCTGGAGAGGCCCTCATTTTGGTGGGGCAGCCCCTGGCTTAAGCTCCAGAGGATAATATTCCAAGATTCCGGGATGTCCTGGCCTCCCGTCTCCGGTCTGCGGGCTTTGCTGCCCAAACCAGTTTCTGTGATCCATGCTGAGAGGTTGCAGACTGCTGATCCGATGCCTCCTGGGGGAATAAAGGGACTCCAAGCTTCACTGGTAGGAAGGGTCATAGAGGTATACATAAAAGGACCCCTGACATTCTTTCAAAAGCAGTGTAAGTGACAGCCCCTGGGAAAAGGGCTGGCTGAGAAGAGATTTTTATTTCTCCAGTTGTTGGCAGTATTTCTCCATATTATTTTCTCAGAGGCCCCGGGAGTCAGACTAAAAATGTTAAATTCTTCATGCCTCAGTGGGAGTGGATTTGGGGGTATATACAGGAATCCTCTGCTACATTCACTACTGACTTTCTCTTCCTCTAATTGACACTTAGCTATAATTTTGGGAACCTAAGAAGGTTAGGGAGGGTCACTGACTCCTATCCCCAATCTGAGAGCCAACCTGAGAGTATTTGCCATGGACCCTGTAGAAGGCTGAGTAATGACTCCTCACCCCCAATATGTCAATGTCCTAATCTCTAGAACCTATGAATGTTACCTTAAGTGACAAAAAATACATTGCATATGTGATTAATGATCTTTTGAGATGGAGAGATTATTTTAGATTATTTGGATGAGCCAAATAATCACAATGATCCTTGTATGAGGGGTGCAGGAAGAGTCAGAGGAGGAGGAAGTATGGTGACCTAGGCAGAGATTAAAGTGATGTGATTTGAAGATGGAGTAGGGGGCCATAAGCCAGGGACTACAGGCAGCCACTAGACACTGAAGGTGGCAAGGACATGAATTCTCCCCTCAGAGCCTCCAAAAGAAAACAGTCCTGCTGACACCTTGACTCTAGACCAGTGAAACTGGCTTCGGGCTTCTGACCTACAGAAGTGTAAGAGAAAAAAAAGTGTTGTTTTAAGCCACTAAATTTGTGGGAATGTGTAACAGCAGCCCCAGGAACTGAATACAAGCTCCTTCCCTAATCACTTGGCTACCTCTCTCTGGATTTGAGCTATTCATACCCCCTCCTGGGAATTTGTGGAGTGGGAAAAACTTGTCCCTATCATTTGTCACATTTTGCATTCCCTCAGCAAATTTACGGGACTTCACCAAAGGATTCCACTCTCCTGCTAAATTGACATTCTTGATTTCTGACATTTCTGTTCTCCCCTCTCCTTAGTCATCCTCCTGGATTCCAAAGCCTCCCAGGCTGAGCTGGGCTGGACTGCACTGCCTAGTAATGGGGTAAGTGTACAATGTCCCTCCCTGTCCCAGCGACCCTCTGGTGGTCCAGGACACAATCCCTTAAGCTCCCCATGTTTACATCAGCCAAAGTGTTCCTCAAAGTGTGTGATCTCCAGCAGCCCTGGCTTCAAGCCAGAGTAGCCTATTGGAATATATTGAGTTGTCAGCCAGTTAGACAGTCAAAAACAAAAACAAAAATAAACAAACAAACAAAAACCCCACAGTGAATAAATGAGGAGAGAACTGGCTGTCTAGGAACAGAAACCTGGCATCTGGATGAAGCTAATACAGGACAGTGCCTTTCACATAGTAGATCCTCCAAGCAATGTTGATTGACAGAGCAAGCAAGACTGGGAGTCCTGAAAGAGTCTTGGGAACTTCGGGTGGGGGTGGGATGATGGGGGTTGTAACAGCAGCTTGGTGGAGCGGAAAGGGCACTGGTCAGAGAGTCAGGAGACCATATGCACCATTCCTAGCTCTACCACTTTGAGGCACATACCTGGTCAAATCACTCTCCCTCTGGAGCCTCAGTTTCCCTATCTATAAAAAGATTTGGACTCATTTGTTTTCAGTTTCTCCCAGTGCTGCATCTTACAATTTCTGGGGTGTGCATGGTGGTGAGAGAGAAGGCAGGAGTCACTGCTAGCACTCTACCTCCTGGAAGCATGTTGGCTCTGAGCTGCCCACCCCTTTACTCTTGTCCCCAGTGGGAGGAGATCAGCGGTGTGGATGAACACGACCGTCCCATCCGCACATACCAAGTGTGCAATGTGCTGGAGCCCAACCAGGACAACTGGCTGCAGACTGGCTGGATCAGCCGCGGCCGCGGGCAGCGCATCTTCGTGGAGCTGCAGTTCACACTCCGTGACTGCAGCAGCATCCCTGGTGCCGCGGGCACCTGCAAGGAGACCTTCAACGTCTACTATCTGGAAACGGAGGCCGACCTGGGGCGCGGGCGTCCCCGCCTAGGCGGCAGCCGGCCCCGCAAAATCGACACGATCGCGGCGGACGAGAGCTTCACGCAGGGCGACCTGGGCGAGCGCAAGATGAAGCTGAACACAGAAGTGCGCGAGATCGGCCCGCTCAGCCGGAGAGGTTTCCACCTGGCCTTTCAGGACGTGGGCGCCTGCGTGGCGCTTGTCTCGGTGCGCGTCTACTACAAGCAGTGCCGTGCCACCGTGCGGGGGCTGGCCACGTTCCCAGCCACCGCAGCCGAGAGCGCCTTCTCCACCCTGGTGGAAGTGGCTGGAACGTGCGTGGCGCACTCGGAAGGCGAGCCCGGCAGCCCCCCGCGCATGCACTGCGGCGCGGACGGCGAGTGGCTGGTGCCTGTGGGCCGCTGCAGCTGCAGTGCGGGATTCCAGGAGCGTGGTGACATCTGCGAAGGTATCCAGCTGGCTGGGGGCTCTGGGGTGGGAGTGCAGAGCGCAAGTGGCAATTGAAAGTGTGCCCTGGATGAAAAAGGCGGGGCTGGGGGCGAGAGGGGTGGAGAAGCCTTGGGCTCTGAGCCCAAGGACAGTCCTGATGTTTTGTCTTGGAGTTTCCAGTGGGTCCAGTCAGGGCCAATGAGTGAAGTTACTAGGAGGTGAAATTGACTAGCTAAGGAGGCATTAGGGACCTGAATCTTAGGCACCTCACACAGGTCTTCTCATTTATTTTAATGGCAATAAAGGAAGCCATTCTTTTATTTTTATTTTTACTTTTTGATACAGAGTCTCTTGCTCTGTCACCCAAGTTGGAGTGCACTGGCCCAGTCTCCACTCACTACAATGGCCACCTCCTGGGTTCCAGTGATTCTCCTGCCTCAGCCTCCCAAGTAGCTGGGATTACAGGTGCGTGCCACCATGCCTAGCAAATTTTTGTATTTTTAGTAGACATGGGATTTCACTATGTTGGCCAGGCTGGTGTCAAACTCCTGACCTTAAGTGATCCACCTACTTTGGCCTCCCATATGCTGGGATTATAGGCATGAGCTACCGCACCCGGCCTAAAGGGAGTCATTCTTTTTTTTGGGAGGGAGTCTCGCTCTGTCACCAGGCTGGAGTGCAGTGGTGCGATCTCGGCTCTCTGCAAGCTTCACCTCCTGAGTTCAAGCGATTCTCCTGCCTCAGCCTTCTGAGTAGCTGGGACTATAGGTACGCACCACCACGCCCAGCTAATTTTTGTATTTTTAGCAGGGATGGGGTTTCACCATGTTGGCCACGATGGTCTCGACATCTTGACCTTGTGATCCACCCAGCTTAGCCTCTCAAAATGCTGGGATTACAGGCGTGAGCCACAGCGCCTAGCCTGAAGGAAGTCCTCCTTATTCCTATTTCACAGATAAAGAAACAGCCTCGGAGAGATTAGCACCTCACTTACAAAGTTAGGAAATGAGGAGCTAGGATCAGAATTCAGGCTTGCCCAACTCTCGCATTCTTTCTACGACACAATGTGGTTTCCCCTGCGCCTAAGGAAGAACTCTACAGGAGCCCAAGCTTCAGGCTAGTGGGACTGGTTGCATTACAGGGAGGAAGCTCCACGTCACTGACCATATGCTTGCAAGTCAGAGGCTGGCAGGGGGGATTTTTATGCTAGAGAGAGAGATTGAGAAGTTGCACTAGATGATTACTAAGATCACATCCCACTCTCTGAACTACAATCACTGTGCTCCCTGTGGGAGATCCTTCATGTTGGAGGTTTTGCTGGTTCTCAGGCTGGTGAGGGCATTAGGAATAGACCTCTCCTTCTCTCTCCTGCCTGTGGCTTTGGAGACAGAGGGTGAGGATGGGGTTATGAATGTGTGCACTTAATATAGAAAGATCAAGGTATGCTTTTAAACCATGTCCTTTTCTGGGTGCCAGGGCAACAGAAATGAGTCAGACATAGTCCCAGCTCTCAAGAAGCTCACAGTTTAGATGAAGAGATGCAAAAATTTAAAAACCACAAGAGGGTAATATATGCTATAAAAGAGGGATACACAGAGTGGTGGGAAGACAGAGAAGGAAGTGACTCAATTTGCTCTCATTTCTTTGTTCAATCATCCATCCAATATGAATTGAGGATGTGCCAGCTGCATTTATCAAGGGCTTGTTATATGTATACAGATGAATGCCACCATCTCTTCCCTGCAGAAATTGTAATTTAGCAAAAGACTGGGAGGCATGAACCTTCCTGAGCTCTCTAGATATAGTTAGGATCCACCTCTATGCTCTCCAGCACTCATTGAAAACTCTGTTTCTGTTCTTACCCTATGGTATGCAGTGATCTACTTATGTGTGTTTTCATCACTAGATTAAGAACTTTGTTTTTTTAGAGATGGGGGTCTGTGTTGCCTGGGCTTGACTGCAGCAGTTATTCATAGGCACGATCACAGTGTATTACAGCCTTGAGCTTCTGGGTTCAGGCATTCCTTCTGCCTCAGCCTCCTGCGTCGGTGGGACTACAGGGATCACACCTAGATTAGGAACTTCTTGAGCTCAGGCACTGGGTCTTATTAGTGTCAGCAGCCCCAGCATCCATAACAGGATAAGGCATATGGTAGGTGTTCAGTGAAAATGCATTGGGTAAACGAGTGGTTACCATAGGGTGTGACGCACAACCAGGCAGCTAAGGAAGCATGGAAGGGAGAACCTTGCTGGGTTCTGCGAAGCATGGAGAAGGCATCCCAGAGGTGAGATCTTTTTTCCCAGGCAGCTTAGAACACTCTAAACTCAGGAATTGCATGCAGAATCATGGAGGCAGGAAGGGACATAGCATGGTTGGGCCTATATAACTAAATGTGGTTAGAGCAGAGGGCATGTAGGGGTGTGGGAAGTTAAGTGATGGCAATGGAGAGGAGCAGGGCCTTGAATGTAGGGATAAAGAGCTTAGGCCAGTGGGGAAGATTTGAAGCAGGGATCTGACATGCTCAGATTTGTCGTTTCAAAAGATCACTCAAGCTGTAGCTGCAAAAAAGGGATTGAAGAGGGAAGGATTAGGAGCCAGAAGATGAAGAAGGAAGATGGTTCAATAGTGCAGGAGAAAGAATACAAGGTCTGAATTAAGGTAGTAGCAGAGATCATTGAGAGACAAGGATCTTGAGTTAGCATCCACAGCACTTAGTGACCATGTGATACAGGAGGAGAAAGGAGTCCCCTTTGACTTATACGCTACTGGGGATTGAATGGACAGAAGGATCATTCACTGGGGTACAGAACACAGGACATGGATAGACACATCATGTTTATGATGTCCCTGGCACATTGCAGAGGAAGTAGTTAGAAAGTGGGTCTGGAGCTCAGCAAGACAGAGAGAGTACTTGAAGCTGTGGGTGTGATTGGGACAGACCAGAGAGAACCTGTTGGGGAAGAAGCCAAGAGGGCCAACAATGAAGACTCATAGAAGAGCAATACTCAAGGACAAGTAGAAAATACAGAGCCCATTACAAAGGCTGAGAGGGAGTGGGCAGGGTATGGAGGAGAACTAGGAAAGTGTGATATTATGAGAGCCTAGAGAGGTAGGAGTGTCCAGGAAGGAATGGCCTAGAGTTGGGAAGCAGTCAGGTGAGTCGAGGGCTGGCAAGTGCCCACTTGGTGGACTTGGTGAGAGCAATTGCAGCTGAGTGATGGGTAGAGAGACCAGGTTGCAGTAGATGGAGGGATAAAGGAAGTTGAAGAGCTGGAGTCAGTGAATCTAGAAGCCTGGATTTGAATTAGGAGAAGAGGTGGTATCTTGAGGAGTACATTGGATTGAGGGAGGATTTTTGTTGTAGATGGGAGAGAGATTTGTTTGTATACTGAAGGGCAAAGAGTCACTGGAGTACCAAGTGTGTATATGGGGGGGATCCCCATCCCAGTCCCAGGAGGCAGGAGTATTTTATTATTGATGTGAGCTAGAATTGCTGGTGCATGTTGGTAATAAAAAGCAGGCCAGATTTTAGTCAGTTCTATTATTGTTTTTATATACTATTAGTTTGTGCCCTTATTGCCTGCACCCCAAATGGGCTGCTTTTTACTGTTTCACTACCAAGAGGGGAGACAACTGATGGAATGTAGCCTTTGATGAGGTTAAAGGGAGAGATCCAGGGTGGAGACAAAGGGATTGGCCTTCAACAGGAGATGGCTCATTCCCTCCTTTAGGACTGGAAAGAAGGAGGAGAGGGAGATGGTTGTGAATGGGGACATTTGTGTGTTTTGATGGGCAGATGTTGAGGGAGTTACCAACTGATGGCTTCTCTTCTCCCTATAAGGTGGGAGGGAGCACATCTGTAGAAGTGGACAGTAAGGTCCTTGTCTGTTTTATTCATTGCTGGGTATCTATAGAGCCTACATAATAGATGCTAAAAAAACATTTGCTGAATGAATGGATTAGGAGTGAGAGGAGGAGGTTTCTCTGAGAAATGGGGGAGAAGGAGAGAGGGAGAAAGAGACTCAGAAACCCAATCCATGTCTGATGAGACCAGAAAAAGGCCACTTGTAATGGCTTCAGCTTTGCCTTGGGGAGTTGGAAGCTGTGGACAATGCCAAGGAAAGCTTCACTGGGGAGATGTTATTTGAACTGGGGTTTGGAGAATTATGGAAGTTTGCCAGGAGAAAAGGGATATAAGGAGTTATAGAACAAGACACAGAAGGATGAGCTCAGTGTAGCACAGTAAAGTGGCGGGCAGTGGGGAGCTGTTGCAGGATATTAGGAAGGGAGGAAATTGTTGGACTTAGAAAGGTCTTCCAAGTGCCTTCTGCAGCTAACACAGACTTCCCTCTAAAAGTAAATAGATAAGAGGGGAATAGAGCTAAGATGTTCTTTTCTCCTTTTTGTTTCTCTTTAGTGACCTTGACTTTTGTTCTCTTAGTCACTAGAGAAATTAGTGAAAGAACTGGGATTTCCTTTGGGGGAAAAAAAATCAGGGCATGTAACCAGTATCTTTTATTCTTCACTAGGGCCAAGTGCAGTGGCTCACACCTGTAATCCCAGCAATTTGGGAGGCCAAGGCAGGACGATTGCTTGAGCCAGGAGTTCAAGATCAGCCTGGGCAACATAGGGGGACTCCATGTCTACACACACACAAATTAACTAGGTCTGGTGGCACAGCATGCCTGTGGTCCCAGCAACTTGGTAGGGCTGAGATGGGAGGATCGCTTGGCCCCAGGATGTGGAGGCTGTAGTGAGCTATGATTGTGCCACTGCACTCCAGCCTGGGCAACAGAGCAAGACCCTGTCACAAACAAGACAAACAAACAAACAAACCAACAGAAAACAACTCAGTGGGACTGCCTTGGAGCCAAGGGACCCAAGCTGATATGTTCCCTGAGGGTCCACAGGGCACAATGAGCCCCTGTGATGGGGTGGCACAAGGGGGTGGTGTGATGTGGGCTTGAGTTGGATTACAGACAGGGAAGCTAATGGGGGCTCATCCTAAGGAGCACTTTCTGCCAGTGTTGTCCAACAAAGGCAGTGTCACAAGCCGGCGAATGCCTCATGGTGAAGTATGTGACAAAGACTGTGGCTACTGCTAGGGAAGCTGCTGGAGGACCAGGCCAGTGGGAGCTGAGCCAGATTAGCTCTGAAGTTCTGACCTTGAGGAGAGGGAGGGACTGGCAGTCAGGAATCCCTGAATCTGCTCTTCAGCACAAACCCCTTCTTCTTCTTCTTTTTTTTTTTTTTTTTTTGAGACGGAGTTTCGCTCTTGTTACCCAGGCTGGAGTGCAATGGCGCGATCTCGGCTCACCGCAACCTCCGCCTCCCGGGTTCAGGCAATTCTCCTGCCTCAGCCTCCTGAGTAGCTGGGATTACAGGCACGCGCCACCATGCCCAGCTAATTTTTGTATTTTTAGTAGAGACGGGGTTTCACCATGTTGACCAGGATGGTCTCGATCTCTTGATCCCGTGATTCACCCGCCTCGGCCTCCCAAAGTGCTAGGATTACAGGCTTGAGCCACCGTGCCCGGCCCTACAAATCCCTTCTAAACAGAGCCTCTCACAGCAGAGATGCCACTGTTGTCGCTGATGGGCCCACCCACCTCTAGGACAGCTGCCACCCTCATACACTTGTGGGGAGGGAGCCTCCAGCATTCTTCCCCTATTGCTGTGAAACCGTGTGAACAGATCCTTTATCTGGGCCCTCACTTGCTCTCCTATTTCACAACAGAGGTGGGCAGGCCATGATGGTTATTCCTATTTGACCGGTGGTTTCTTGAGGCCAAAGAGGCACGAGGAGTGGCCCAGCCAACGCTAGAACCCAAGCCTGCCAAGTTCCAGCCAGGAGGAAAACCTCCAGGCATGGAGGTTTTCTGCTGCCCACTAGACCATGGGGATAGTCGGCCCATGCTTTGTTCTGCCAGCAGAGAAGGCTTTGAAAAGCTCCTGGGCTGCTGAGTCCCTCCCACAGAGTTGTGTTGCCCAGGACTCTGGGCAAGATGGACCCTCCCAAGCCCAAACCTTCCAAACAGTGGGAGTCTTAGTCCCCTCCCCTCTTCTCCCACACAGGCTGAAAGTTCTTCCCCAAGAGCTAGTCTGCACCCTTTCTGTCATACTGCATCTTCTTGGAGCTGGAGACCAGCCAGCTAAACTAGAGGGGAGGGCCAGAGAACAAGGGAAGGACCACCCAATCTCTGAGACGTCGGGTCGGGAGCCACTGCCTCCCTCCTTGGCCCAGCGGGAGAGAAATTTTTTGAAGTGGGTGTTTAGCAGTTACCACTTAAGGCTTGTAGAGGAGGAACAGTAATTACTACCATTATTGTGAACATGTGTTTGGTGCTGGGCTAGGGGGTTTACATGTTTTATCTCAATCCTCCAACAACCTTTTTTGAGGTAGGTATTCAACACAAGGCTCAGAGAGGTCAACTGAAGTGCTCAAGGCTACACAGTAAATACGTAGTGTGACTCAGCTACAAACCCAGGTTGTTCAGATAGAAACCCTTGTGTTCTTAACAACCTGTGTTCTGAGAAGTGAGAAGCAAACTGAGTAGGTGTCAAGACTGGAACCAGGTCTGACTCACGACCCAGGGAACTTTTACTGGCCCTTCTTTCTCCACCCACCCTCCCCACACCTGGTTGGCTTTAATTTCAGTTGAGAATTTATGATGCATGAACTCGAATGATGGTGGCGGTGGGAGGGTGTGTGTGTGTGTGCGTGTGCATGCATGCTTGTGGGTCTGTCCCTGGGTAAGCACTTGGGACATCTCCCCCCTCTCTTTCTCACACCAGGACTGCAGAGTTTGGCTCATTTTTTTTCTTCCAGTGGGCATGAGGGTGGTGTGATGCTGGCTTGGGTTGGAATCCCACAGGCTGTGGGGCAGTAGCTGTAGGCAACTTCACCTCTCCTAGCCTTAGCTCCCCCGTTTTAAAAAGGGGAAAAAGGGCCAAGCACAGTGGCTCATGCCTGTAATTTCAACACTTTGGGAGGCAGAGGTGGGGGGCAGGGCAGATCACTTGAGGCCAGGAGTTCGAGACCAGCCTGGCCAGCATCGTGAAACTCCATCTTTATTAAAAATACAAAAACCAAAGCAAACAAAATCAGCCAGGCATGGAGGTGCATGCTTGTAAATCCCAGCTACCTGGGAGGCTGAGGCAGGAGAATTGCATAAACCTGGGAGGTAAAGGTTGCAGTGAGCTGAGATCTGGCCACTGCACTCCAGCCTGGGCAACAGAATGAGACTCTCTCAAAAACAAAAATAAAAAAAAATAAATAAAAAGAGGATAATCTCATAGGTGGTTGTAAGGATATGAATTAACAGACATAATTTTTAAAAAAGTAAATACAGACAGGGTTTCACCATGTTGCCCAGGCTGGTCTCCAGCTCCTGGACTCTAGTGATCCTCTGGCTTTGGCCTTCCAAAGTGTTGAGATTATGGGCGTGAGCTACTGCGCCCGGCTGAAAGTAAAATATTTCAGTTTTCCGAACACACTGAGCGTTTACTAAGGGTCGGTAATGGGTTGTTTAGGAGTCACTCCACGGGGCAGTGCTGACTGCAGTCCCCTGTTTTCCTATTGAAATTGGAGGAGATAAACCCTGCCCTAACCAGGCCAGTCAGCAAAGCGGGGAGAAACTGTGGCGGAGCCCCAGCTTCTCACCCGCCATGCCCTGCAGCCTGTCCCCCAGGGTTTTACAAAGTGTCCCCGCGGCGGCCCCTCTGCTCACCGTGCCCAGAGCACAGCCGGGCCCTGGAAAACGCCTCCACCTTCTGCGTGTGCCAGGACAGCTACGCGCGCTCGCCTACCGACCCGCCCTCGGCTTCCTGCACCCGTGAGTCCCCCTCTAGGGTGCACTGCAGAGGGTGGCGGGGTGGGGGAGGACAAGGAAGGCCTGATCCGGGTGGTGGTGAGGGTGGGGGCTCCGAACTGGGGCGCAGGAGGGCGGGTATGGGGGCCAGCGCCCCGGAAGGCGAGGTATGGGGACCGGAGCCTGGACGGGCGCTGAGGGGCGGGGCCTTGGATGAGAAGAACCATCCAAGGTTAGGATGCTTGGCGGGTCACTGAGGAGAGCGCCCCTCCGCCGCCCTCTCTGCACGCTGCGTACCCTCCAGTCGAAAGGGGGGCTCCCGACCTTCGCACCATCGGTTCACGGTCCACACACTCCCATCCTCGGCTCCTCACTTACCTCCTCCCACATCCTCACCACTGCCCTGCCGCTCTCACCTGCCGACCTCCCAAGGGCTCTCACACCTGGGTCTCTGACCCGTCCCTGGGGGAGGGACAAGCCCCTGCTCCCTCTCGCCCAGGGCTCATCCATACTTGACCCCTCACTGACCATCTCTGTTCCAACCTCCCTGACTGAACTCACGCCCCCATCCCTCCCACCCCCAGACCCCTCTCCCCTGTCCTATCTCCCACGCCCACTGGCTCCCACGACGCCTTTTCCGCTCAACCATCCCTGTCCCTTCACTGATCGTCCCTTCTGCCCTCCTCCCTGACTGACCCCACGCTCCCGTCCCCCGTCCCTGCATATCTATCCCGTCCCCTGCATCCACCCAGTCCCCTGATGAGCGCCCCGCTCCCTCCTCCCCGATTGACCCTCGCGCTCCAGCTTCTCCCGCCTCATTGGAAGGTGGACCAGCCCCCGCCCGCCCCGTGCATCCCGCCCTCCTAGCGGGCTCCCACGCCCCGCCCTGACCGCCCTGCCCCTGTGCCGCCCAGGGCCGCCGTCGGCGCCGCGGGACCTGCAGTACAGCCTGAGCCGCTCCCCGCTGGCGCTGAGGCTGCGCTGGCTGCCGCCGGCCGACTCAGGCGGACGCTCGGACGTCACCTACTCGCTGCTGTGCCTGCGCTGCGGCCGCGAGGGCCCGGCGGGCGCGTGCGAGCCGTGCGGGCCGCGCGTGGCCTTCGTGCCGCGCCAGGCCGGGCTGCGGGAGCGCGCCGCCACGCTGCTGCACCTGCGGCCCGGCGCGCGCTACACCGTGCGCGTGGCCGCGCTCAACGGCGTCTCGGGTCCGGCGGCCGCCGCGGGAGCCACCTACGCGCAGGTCACCGTCTCCACCGGGCCCGGGGGTAAGGCCGCCTGTCCCCCCGCCCGCATCCCCCGTCCCGAGGCCCCAGCGCCTGCTGCCCCCGCGCCCTCCCGGGGCCGCCCCGTCGGTCCAGCAGGAGCCCCACCCACTCTCCCCAGAGAAGCCACTCTCTGTGCACGCACCCGGCCCCTCTCCGGGACACGAAGTCACCCCCGGACTCCTCAGCGTCAGTCGCCCTCCCGGGTCTGCAAGAGGGACTGAGAATGCAGGCGTTCCCTTGCTACGGGCCAGAGGGGAGGCGCGCGGTTCTGTGCGTCTGCTGGAAGCCGCTGGGTGCTCGCCTTTCTCCTGAGCGCCCTGCACAAAGCCGCTGTCCGGCTAACAGCTCGGCAATTGGCCTTGCCGCTGACTTCTCAGGGAAAAAAGAGGTGGAAAGTCCCTTAATCTCTTACCTTACCTTTAAAAAAGTCAGTAGGAAGCCGAATTTACTTCCTTCTCTCTGTCTGGGGAAGCGGGGTCCCGTCATGTGTCCCTTGCCTCCATCCCTCGGCCTCTGCATGGTTTTGCTGTGTTGGCCACCCTTTTCCTGATCCCGGGAAATGGCAAGGAAGCTTGTAGAGTTAGGCTGTAGGGGAGATGGAACGCACCAGCCAACACATCGCTGAGACTGGACATGAGATGCGTTAAGTGAAGACCTGCAGCCTTTTTCCACCACACCTTCACTCCTGACAGTTTCTTTGCAAGAAAGATAAGCTAGTGGTAAGGTTTCTGACTCTATTCCTAATCGAGGCGATAGGATCCGTCTGTGACCCTGCTTCCCTGCCTTCTGTGATTCCGCTTCTGTCTTCTGGCAGTTCTGTTGCCTAGGAGAAGTCTGAGGCTAGGGTTATTTTCATTCTTTTCTACATAACTTGGACATATGACATATATATGTATACACACGGATGTTAGAATATTCTTTAACCTACTTAACCTGTTGAAAATAAACTTTTTTTTTTTTTTTTTTTTTTTAATGGAGTTTTGCTCTTGTCACCCAGGCTGGAGTGTGGTGGTGTGATCACAGCTCATGACAACCTCTGTCTTATGGGTTCAAGCGATTCTCCCACCTCAGCCTCCCGAGTAGCTGTGATTACAGGTGGGCACCGCCACACCCAGCTAATTTTTATATTTTTAGTAGAGATGGGGTTTCACCATGTTGGCCAGGCTGGTGTTGAACTCCTGACCTTAAGTGATCTGCCTGCCTCAGCCTCCCAAAGTGCTGGGATTACAGACGTAAAGCACCATGCACCCAGCCAGAAATAATCATTTGACCAATATGGATTTCTTTTGATTGAGTAAACCTTTTGATTTGCACAACTTTTTTTTTTTTTTTTCTGGAAAACTTTTTTTCAGGCCAGGCACAGTGGCACAGGCCTGTAGTCCCAGCATTTTGGGAGCCTGAGGCTAGGAACAACATAGTGAGATCCTGTCTCTACAAAAATTTATTAAAATTAGCCAGACATGGTGATGTGTGCCTATAGTCCCTGCTGCTCAGGAGGCTGAAGCAGGAGGATCACTTGAGCCCAGGAGTTTGAGGCTGCAGTAAGTGATGATTGTGCCACTGCACTCCAGCCTGGGCGACAGAGCCAGACCATGTCTCTTAAAAAAGTTTTCTTCAGCTACTGCTTTGACTAGAACTTCTGATAGCTTAAACATATCTCTTATTTAAAATATTTCTAAGCCTTAGGTTGTATATTCATTTTCTGATTCTCAAATCTTGTCACTTGACTTCCTTGATCATTTTGAGCTCTTAATCCACTTCCACTGCCTTTTGGAGGTTTCCCAGCTCGTTTGGGTTTCTGGAACAGTACTGTTTTTCACTGTCTCTATTGTGATTTAACATTTGCTATTGCATTTACATTTTTTAAAATTCCTTTTCAATCTTTCTTTCATGTTAGACGGGTATTGTGCCGATGTCGTAAAAAGGTTCAAGGGTGACACATCTCACACATGAGTGTGAATTCCCAATCATCACACCCACAAACTACAAAAGGATCACATTTTAAAAAATTCAGTGTAGAAAAAGAAGCTATAATCGTATTATGCCGACATAAACCACTATTAATATTTTAGAGTATATACTTCCAGAAATGTTTTTATCTCTATATTCATATTTGTAATTATCTACCCGTAAAACTCCTTTTGTTTTTTGTTTTTGTTTTTTTTTAATATTTAAATTATTTTACATTTTCTTTTTTAAAATTTTATTTTAGGTGTATTCTATATCCGGCATTTCTCCCCATGTTATCCCTCCCCACCCTCCCCACTCCCCACCGTCCCTCGCTTACCCCGCAACTACCCGCAGTGTGTGATGCTCCTCTCCCTGAATCCATGTGTTCTCATTGTTAAACACCCTCCTGTGAGTGAGAACATGCCATGTTTGGTTTTCTGTTCTTGCATCAGTTTGCTGAGAATGATGGTTTCCGGATTAATCCAAGTCCCTACAAAGGACACAAACTCATTGTTTTTTATGGTTGCATAGTATTCCATGGTGTATATGTGCCACATTTTCTTTGTCCTGTCTATCATTGATGGGCATTTGGGTTGGTTGCAGGACTTTGCTATTGTACACAGGGCTGCAGTGAACATATGTGTGCATGTGTCTTTATAGTAGTACGATTTATAGTTCTTTGGGTATATACCCAGTAATGGGATTGCTGGAAAACCCCTTTTGTTTTAATACAGTCATGCATCGTATGATATTTTGGTCAACAATGGATGGAATATATGATGGTGGTCCTATAAGATTATAATGGAGCTGAAAGACTCCTGTCACATAGTGCTTTCTGTTACAATTGCCCACAGTATTCAGTACAGTTACAGGCTATTATCCAGGCTGTACGGGTTGTAGCCTAGAAATGTGATAGGCTATACCATCTAGGTTTGTGTAAGTATACTTTGATGTTTCTGTAGCAATGAAATCGCCTAACAGCGTATTTCTCAGAACATCTTCCCATCATTTAGCAATCTGTGACAGTATATGTAATACTTTTATCTGGCATTTTATATTAGCAATCTTAACTGTTTTGACACAGATGGATTTAAAAGCCATGTTAAGGAAATAATCTTCTATTTCCACTTTCTCCATAAAAATACTAAGCTTCTACTGATCGAGGGCCGCTGTATTTGGCACTGTGCAATATGATTTTCTACATTAATTCATTGAAATGGTGCCGGGCGCGGTGGCTCACGCCTGCAATCTCAGCACTTTGGGAGGCCAAGGCAGGCAGATCATTTGAGATCAGGAGTTCGATGGGGTTTCAGCTTGGCCAACAAGGTGAAACCCCACCTCTAGTAAAAAAAAAAAAAAAAAAAAAAAAAGCCAGGTGTGGTGGCACAGGCCTGTAATCCTAGCTACTGGGGAAGCTGAGGCAGGAGAATCGCTTGAACCCCAGAAGTAGAAATTGCAGTGAGCCAAGATCGTGCCACTGCACTCCAGCCTGGGTAACAGAGTGAGACTCCACCTCAAAAAAAAAAAAAAAAAAAAAAATTAAATGAAACTCAGATTGGTCTTGGAACCCAGGTCTGTGTGCCCTCAAAGCCCTGAGCCTTTAACCCCTAGGCCATATAATGCTTCTGCTTTTTACTGAACTTTTTCTAAAAATCAGAAGTGGATGTTAATTTTATAAAATGCTTCTTAAGCATTTTCAAGATGACCACATTTTTCCCCCTTTGACCTCAGTATGATGAATGCTATTAATGGATTTTTCAGTTTGAACTCTCTGTACTCCTGGATTATACCCTACTGGATATGAGTATATTATTCTTTTGATATTTTGCTGAGTTCATTGGCTTATATTTCAATGTTTTTTTTTTTTATCTACATTTCTTTTTTTTAAAATTTTTATACAAAGAGCTCTTGCCATGGAACCATCTGCATTTCTAAGAGGGATTAGTGTTTTGTAATGTGTTCTTTGTCAAGTTTTGGCACTGTGGTGATACTGGCTTTAGTAAAGGCATCAGGAAAAATTTCTTCTTTTTCCCTGCTCTGGGGTATTTTAATAGCAAATTTATATATTACTTGAAGGCATGAAAAACTGCCTGGGAAACTTTCTGGGATCGATGCCATTTTTTGGGAGAAAGTTTGATATTTTATTTATTTAGTTAGTTAGTTTTTGAGATGGAGTTTTGCTCTTGTTGCTGAGGCTGGAGTGCAATGGCACAATCTTGACTCACTGCAATCTCTGCCTCCAGGGTCCAAGTGATTCTCTAGTCTCAGCCCCCGGAAAAGCTGGGATTACAGGCATTCGCCTCCAACCTTGGCCTATTTTGTATTTTTAGTAGAGATGGAGTTTCTCCATGTCGGCCAGAATGGTCTCGATCTCTTGGTCTCGTGATCCACCCGCCTCAGCCACCCGAAGTGCTGGGATTACAGGCATGAACCACTGTGCCCAGCCAAAAGCTTTTAATTTTGATGAAGTCTGATTTATCTATTTTTTCTTTGGTTGTTTGTACTTTTGGTGTCATCGCTAAGAAACCATTGCTTAGTCCAAGGTTAATATTTCTGTGTTTCTTTTTAGTGTTGTAGTTTTGACTCAAATTATTTTAGAGGATGTGCTTTCATTTCTAGATGACTTGCTTTTATTTTGTTTATGTTGCTGATTGTAATGCTTCATGGAGGTTCGTGCATGTAAAAGTTTTTAAACTATTTCATGCTACTTTAAAACAATATGCACTATTTTGTAGTATAGTTCTTTTTTTTCTCACTCTCTTTATATCTATCTATCTATCTATCTATCTATCTATCTATCTATCTATCTATCTATTTGCCTACCTACCTGTCTATATGTAGATGCTCTTCAACTTAAAGACAGGCTTATGTCCCATTAAGCTCATTATAAATTGAAAATATTATAAGTTTCAAAATGCATTTAAGACACCCAGCCTGCCAAACCTCATACCTTAGCCTAGCCTACTTTAAACGTGCCCAGAGCACTTCCATTAGCCTACAGTTGGGCAAAATCACCTATTTTACAATGAATGTCTATTTTACATTGAGTA